TTAATTTCTTACTTCATATTTTAACCCCACATTCGGGGGGGGGTTGGTTTAGTTTCTTACTCAAGATTTTAACCCCCCATTCGGGGTGGGGTTTAGTTTCTTACGTAAGATTTTAAAAACTTGAACAACCCCCTGAGGAACTCCGAAAGGAGCGCTCCGCCCTAGTCTTTAAAAATGATTAATTAACGCTGTTTCTCTCTGTAAATAGAAGTTTGGTTAAAAAACAGAGCACTACACGTATAGACATTTTTTCTTTTAAGTTATTATCAAAAAAATATATATTAATGGTTCGTGGGACCTACAGATATTAAGGCTGGCAGCGAATATGTTTCACTAAGCTGTCGAGTAAAGCCAAGAATCTACGGATTTGGATGGGGGACATACCATAAAACGTGAATGGTACAAAGTTTTAGATGTTAACACTTCTTGAATCGCGGACTAATTAATCATGAACATCCACCCTTATATTCGATACTCTTAACAGTTAATAAAAGTCTTTAAGAAAATAACAATTATGAATGCGATTTAGTGGAGCCTTGCCTGTTTTAGCGTAGGTGTTTAATAGTTTCTTGGATTACATTCCACTTTGTGACAAACTTTACCATTTCATTACATGAATGTAACTTGTAATGATGAGTTTTTTATCGTTTGAAAATATCTCCAAATATAAATGTAACTTTCATCTAGTGTCCTATCAAATAGTTACCTTGGGCTGTTACCCAGTGGATAAAGCAGCCACAGCGTGAAGCTGTCAAATCACCCCTATCTATTTACTACACGGAGTTCAATTACATAATCTATGTAGGCCTTATATACAGGGATCGGTGGAGGGATTTTGTTAATTCGATGACGAACCTTCGTGTCCCCTAAGCCAGTTAGTTATGTGGCCTTAGGGCGCAGTTCTTAAGAGTCTAAAAATAAAAAAAAATATGACACGAACAATTTTGAATCCGGCAGTTTTAGTCAGTTTGTTTCATGATTTTCCCAAAGTGCTTCCAGTCTAATTCGGGGTTTAGTATCTTGATATAAAGCACAATCTTCTCTCGATTCCCATTCGACTGTTTTTCTACAATTTTTGGCCCCGCGATACGTAAAATTGTTAAAAAAAATTACGGCGTAACAAAGATTAATCATTTGAATATTACCATTCTAGAAATATCTTGTAGCAGATATCATGAATATCTGGTTATAACAAAAGCCTATTTCACTTTCGTTCTTTCAATGTCCCTCCTATTGCAACAGATTACATTCTTTCTTTATACATTATCATCGGATTTATTCTACAATTTAGCATTTTACATTTCACCTGTTTTTTTTTTACGGTAGCGAAATTTAGAGTTTATGACAAATGGCGTGGAACATATTTGGATCTAAGAAAAAAATATTATATTATGAATAACTTCCTAATATCTTTTCTTTAACTAATATCTTTAGTTTTAAATCAGAGGATATGAGATGGGTAAAATATATAGCATGCATTAAAACACAGAAATACATATATATATATACATGTTGGAAAACCTGTAGGAAGAGACCTCTGGGAATAGGCATTTTGGAAGGATAATATTAAAATGTTTCTTAACATAAATATGTTTTGAAATTGAGTGGATTGAAAAGGCTTTGAATAGAGTACAGTGTCGGGATTTGTGGTCATGGTAATGAAGCTAAAGGTTAATTAAAGCAGAAAATGTCTTTACCTGTTGGTTAACGGTCATAATTTGAAACTACGATCTTCGTAAATGAGGTTATAACTTTGTTAGTTCATGTTATGGCCATGTATGCGATTTCAGTCCTAATTTTCTCTTTTGTTTTAAGCCTGAGGAAAATCACACGAATTATGTTAAGATAGCCTGCAGAAGAGTAGGATTGATCACTGAAATTATGTATATACGATTATGACACATTGCAGAAACGATAATAGTGAATTCTGACCACAGAAAAAAGTGTAGATCGTCCGTGTGAAACTGTTAGCGATATAAGGCACTTTCTTCTGTGAAAATCTACGCAGTTCTGGTCGCAAGTGACGAACGCATTATAAATCAAATGTTGCCAACTTGACACTTATATATCACTTCCAGCATTGACGACTAACGTATTTTAAAG